ACATACACTCATAAGTTCATATAAGGCAGTCAGAGAGAATTCACTTCAAAGGGAGGCAACAAACGCCCCTACGAAAAGAGATTTATTGTCAGATAATCTCTCACGGTCCAATCTAAAAAGAGAGAGTTTCAACCTCAGTCTCCCTACATTGATTTTTTTCTAACATTAAACACCTAAAATATCATACTAAGACCTCGATCTTCGAAAGGGGGTCTCACATTTAACCCATATTCACCTCTTGATAAACATAATTTCCTAGGTTGTTGCTTGATCGACGTCGAAAAGTCTTCAGGAAGAAAACTGTAACGACCCGAAAACAAGGATGTGGAGCGTTAGTTTTGTAACCAAAATTAATATCAACAAATAGGGAATGTTTCCGTATAACTGGAAAACCGAGAGTGTTATGGTCTTTAGGAAAGTTTATGGACCAATTTCCCGGATGGAATGGAAAATGAGGATCATTTACAAGTAAAAGTGAAGACCAATTTGAAAAAGACATAAGAAACATAGTTCCATAATCCACGGGCCAAAGAGAAATGGTATGGGAATAATTGGTCACCCTTGAGTTTTCCTTACTAGGAAGATTCTAAGAAATTGCTAGAAGTTTCTAGAAATTCTTGAGAATGAAAGGAAGCTAATTGGGTCAGGTCGTAGTGATAGGTAATTAGATATAGTTAGAAAAATAAGGAAAGTAGGCATTATGAGAAAATGAATATTTGCACTTAGGGGTTGTAGATATAAATACACGACCTAGACGTCTCGTAGTTTACACACAAAGATTTATTGTTCATGCCAAGCGAAGCAGAGAGCTCACACACATAAGAACAAGTAAGGAGGAAGTTGACAAGTTCTCACCATTCCACCCCGAGATTGGAAGATCAGCGATGAAGTTAAGGCGTGATCCATACCAATATTTTCTTTTCCCTAAGTTCTTTCCTATTGGTAGTTGTTGTTGAATTTTTGTAAAGTTGTTAGAAGTGTTAACGTCTAGTGGTAGCCGAGTAATATTCAGTCCACAATCGAGTAATGATAAGCGATTGAGTAACAATCAAGACAAGTCTCACTCCACAATCGAATAAGGATATGCGATTGAGAAACGATCGAGATAAGTCTCGACCACGATCAAGAAGTGACCGAGGGAGTATTCGATCAGCAATCAATAGAGTATACTCAATCCATGATCAATAGGATACAACAGAGTGATTCAATCTATGATCAGAGGCTGCTGAGAGACTCGATCTGATGTTTATAGATCCAAACAAGATACTCGAGCTATGATCAGTATGTGGATGGTTCTATTCGAGTAAACCTCGATAAGATCAAAGTTGCATTGCAGGAGGTTTGCTCTATCACGACTCATACTTATGTTTTGGGATATTACAATAATATTTGGAGTTTGGGTTGATAAAAGTGTTCATCTACTTAGAAAAATTGATTGTGTGGTTAGCTAAATCCTACCAGGAGAGTTGTGACGTAGAGAGCATGAGAATCTACTCAAGTAAATTGAAAAGTGGGTCGAGTAATCCTCAATATACCGTATAATAGAGATATATTGGAAATATTACTAGAGAAAAGACCTCTTAGTAGATGGTTACTTCATTGTTGGTTCTGATTATCGGGAAACATGACTATCCATGGGATGGATGAGAAATGATCCAAGTAAATTGAAATCTTACTCGAGGGAAATTCATAAAACATTTTAGTAAATCTAAGGCAAATATCTTATTCTCGGTGGTTCACTTACTTACTCATTTCAGGCAATCCGATAATAGTTGCTCGTTGAACAGACATGAATTAACTCGAGTAAATTGATTTATAGTAAATATTTCTTAGTCAATTCTATAGTAGAGCCTATGGATGGGTATTGGTACGAGAAAACTGAACTTTGTTTTGGGAAACTTAAATTAGGTTTTATACGGCTAAGCGGAAGGCACATATCATATTGGGTTGTCCTAAACCCAATCTAACAATGACTCTGAATATCGTATTGGGATAGTCGTACATGTCTAGCATCAACCATACAAAAAAAAATGGTTTGAAATGTTTTGGATACTGATTGAGAACCCATAATATATTGCTTATGATAATTCATAAGTAATATGTATGATTGCAAACGAAAGCGAATCTTTTTGATCCCCACATAATCCAAGATT